CCAACCAGGGTAAAGAAGTGGATTGGACCAGTCTTACTGATGGTTTTTTTGTACAAGCAAGTACATTGTGATTCATTAGCTTGTTGGAGCATGATGACAATGAAAGGGAAGCTATTGGCGTTTGAACTTGCCACGGAGGCAAATAGTGGGCCCAAGAGATTCATAGAGTGGGGCCAACGAGAGGAGATCGATGCAAGAGGCCTCAGTAAGGAGTGGGAGCATGATTGGAAGAAAAGAAAGCGCCAGAGATGGATGAGGGAAGCCGTCGTTCGCACGGACGACGTGATGAAGTGGGTCGAGTCGATCAACCTTGAGGGCAAGGTTGGTCTCAAGGGGGAGGGGATGATAGAAACCCAATTTTTGGGTTTATTCATAATTATCATAATTACTATAATTAGGATATTATTATAATATGGTTTGTAGTATTTGAGTCATAATAGGATAGTCTATTAGGTTTTTCCAGTCTTTCGTTATAAATATGTACACAGCGTTTTATTCAGAATCAATCAAGAAAGAATTATCAAAGTATCACTCTCAACCCTAATCTCTCATAATCCTCTCAAACTCTCTTCTCATCCTATTCTGGCCACCGCCCATTCTGTTCTTGTTCTTCCCCTATTCTATTCCTGATCCCCAAATTCTCTTCTAAATTCCTAAATCTCCATCAATTCCCAATCCTATCGATAGAACCCTAGAAATAGGTTTTTATCAGAATTGATAGAATTTTTTTTTACCAAACCAAAGGGGGCAGGAGTTTTGTACCAAACCGGTCCGACCCCAGGCGGCCATGAAAATCGCCCACTACCGGTGAGGTTTTCATTGAAATCGCTCCTCCACCCCGCTGTTTTCTTGTAAATCGTTGGGTGGCGTGGCGGTTTTCGGGAAAGGGTGCTATTTTTTGAATTTTCGGGGTTGGGTGCTATTTTTGTAAAAAAAAAATAAACAGTGCTATTTCCGGAAAAAAAAAATCCATACAACCCAAAGAAGCTCGTCGAGGAACCACTGTCCACCATCTTCCATCTCCTTCGTCGTCCCGAACCCCGCCAGATCAACCGCCACTCCCATCTCCTTCGCCGTCCCGAACCCCACCAAACCCCTACTCCCATTCAAATCACGACGGAGCAAATCCTTCATTTGCCGAGTCGGCCTCGCCGCTTGTCAGCAGGGTATCGACGATTGGAACCATCAATTGTTCGGATATGGCGGTTGTGACGTGATTCGAGCTCAAATGTACACATTTTACCCCTCATTTCTTATTCGTTTAGCTTAATATTTCTTCGTTCCTCGCCATATTTCACCCTAAGTTGTGCTTGTTTTTTATACATTTCAGGTCCTAGCACGTGTGGGAGGGTCGAGGACAAGTTTTGGGATATTTGGAGGTCAAAAAGCGCAAAAAACCGAAGAAACGCCTGAAGGCGTCCCAGGAAACAGTCGTTGTTCACGGCCGGACAAGGCAGTTCACGGTCTCCTAAGATCGTGAACATGGACCACAAACCATGAACATCGAGCAGTCCAGCGAGGTTCGTGAAGTTACTGATGACAAGTCAGTTCACGGTCTCTAAGACCGTGAACTGGGGCCATTGACCGTGAACCCAGGCGAGTGAAGCGGCGCGTTTTGGACGACGCTGAGTTCACAGACGCATTTAGGTGTTCACGGCCGTGAACTTGCCAACGGGTCTATGAACTGGTCACTTTCGGGCAAATATGAAGACAGCTGCGGGGAGAGAGAAAAGGGAGTTGGTTTTTTTAGAAGAAACACTTTCTTTCTCTAGGGTTTCAACCTAAACACCAAAGGGGAGTTCTAGTGAGAGTGAGAGAGAGAGAGAGAGAGAGAGAGAGAGAGAGAGAGAGAGAGAGAGAGAGAGCTAGAGTGATCTTGGAGCATCATTGGAAGCTTGGGTGGAAGATTCAAGCCTAGAAGAAGAAGATCTTGAGCTCAAATTTGTAATCCCTCTCTCTCTCTCTCTCTCTCTCTCTCTCTCTCTAGAAACTCACTCTTTTCTCTTGGGTGTTGTAGATCCCTAACTACTACTTTGTAATAACTTGTTTGGATTGAATGATTAAGTGTGGGTTGGCATCAATTTGAGTATTAGAGGTGTTTTCATCATGATTGTGTATGCTTGTGCTTAGCAACCTAGGGGTTGTGCATGTTTTGTGCTTAGCACCCTTAGGTTTGTGCATGTAGGTGCTAGCAATCTAATTATCCACCTTAGCCTAGGTTAGAGAGGAAAATCCCCTTCCAAGGGAGACTCAATCGAGTTCGTTTTCCTTCCGCTTTCTAAGCCAACTAAACTAGGTTAAATTAGGGCAACCCTCAATATTGAATTAAGCAAATCGATTAATCGTGATTAAGCCGTCCGGCCTTAGAGTTGAGTGAGGGAGTAAGTCAATTACCGATTGTCTAAACATAGAGGGTCGAGTGACACGGCTTTTCATCCTTACCTCGGTTTAGCAATTGAGATTGTGGTCTCCGACCACATATGCATCCCTCTGCGGTTCACGATTATCGTGCCCATCTAGGTTGGTTGTGATTAAGCCGCTCAAACTCCGGTTTGAGGGAGAGACCTAGGAAACCATTAGTGACTGAGTGAGAGGATCGATCCCATGACAAATCGACCTCAAGTGAATCCATCCCGTGACAAATGGATCACTAGTTGCTCCTCCTAGTGGTTTCCTTAGATCTGGTGAGTGGATCGATCCCGTGACAAATAGATCGCTAGTAAATTGATGCCGTGACAGATTGATCACTAGTTGCTCACTCCCGAGGTTCACAATCACCTACGCCTCACGACTTCATTCAATCCAACGAGTCATGGTAGCTAATTAGGGGGAAGCAATTCCTGGGTGAAGCTCCCTTAGTTAGAGTTTTCCTTTCTTTACTTTTCTTTGCTTGGTTAGTTTGTAGTTCCAATAAACCTAAACCCTAAAGTTGCTTGCTAGATAACAACCTAAGTTATTGAAGTAGCGGTGCATGGACCGACCCGGGTTGACAATTTAAATACTTGCTCTATACTACACCCGACTAGAGTTTAAAAACTTGGACTCTAGTTGGGATTAATTTGTGGTGTAGTTTCGTGCGAGTCATGGCGATATGAAGCATGGAAGAGAAGAAGATAAAGAGGAATCCGAGAGTACCGCCAGCATTTGTCCGACTCGTCCTCAAAGCTCAGCAGCAGCCACTTCTCCACCGCCTCGCCTCCCGGAGGAAAGTACCTCTCTGCGTGCTGCTTTAGAAGCCCCAGCCTGTTCAGCTTCCCCACGTTTGACGGCGTCAGCGACTTCTTGAACATCCCTTCCTGTGAAGGGGATGGGTTTTGGTTTTGCCTGTGAGCAACGAAGAACCAATTGGGGATGTGGTGGTGGTGGGGTGCCGGCATTGCCCAATTGGAGGAGTGAGTGAGACAAAGACGGAGAACCAATTGGGGATGTGGTGGTGGCAGAGCTTGAAGCAGTCGAGACAACAACGACGACAGAGCACGTTTTGGGGATTTTTGTATTTTTTAATCATTTTAGATATAAAATAAATAAAATTTAAAATTTTATGTCAGATGTCACGTCAACGCTGACTGAAATTTCTGTTAAATACTAACGATCAACGCCGGTCAACTCTAACGAAAAAATAGTTTAGGACACAAATGTCATATTGGATACTTTACGACACAAATGACACATTCTTAATAGTTCGGGTCAAGGTTGTTAAACCGGTTTATGCCAGTGTGCCGGTTTAACAAGTGGAATGGTTCAACCGGTGGAACATACCGATTTGTGCCGGTTCATGCCGGTCAATATTACAAATAAAATTATAAATACTCATATTTAAACATGACATTTAACGTCAATACCTAAACATTAATACTTGAATCCAACAAATAACATCAATTTTTATACTCATAAAATAAATAATAAAATAATTTTTATCAATTAAATTTTCTAAAATAAGGTCATTTTACTTAGAGATTCGTATATCGATCATGCCGGTCATACCAGTGGTGTCACGCCGGTTTTATGACCGGTACCGGTTGAACCCGGTACAACCGGTGGCACGCCGGCCGGCGTGACAACCATGGTTCGGGTTTCCTAATAGAATTAGCACTAAAATATATTAGATATATGACTAATTACTCAACTGGTTAATTTGGTTTCATTGGTTAGGAGTCTGAAATCAAATCAAACCACTTACAAGTTACAACTAAACATGCTAAATATTTTAACTAAACTAAACAAATTATTTAAATTAACCAAATCAAATTATCCAAATACTGCCTATTAAAACTAGGGATGGCAATGGGTCGGGTTGGGTCGGGTTTTGCCAAACCCAAACCCAAACCCATGGGTTTATCTTTGAAAAAAACCCGGGGTAAAACCCACTGGGTTTGAAAAACTCAAACCCAACCCAACCCGTTGGGTATCCGCGGGTTCATGGGTACCCACGGGTTTTGTCGTAAAAAATTTACAATTACAAGTTCTTATCAAAATTAAAGTCAAATATCAATCTCTCAATACAAATTATCCATATATAAAACACCATTCTAGAAAATTCAAGCAAATCACAAATTATCCATAAATAACATGTTTAATTGAAAGCTTCTTTCTTTCAATTAACTTTCTTTACTCTCCACTCCATAACATCCACTTCATTCTACACAATTAAAAAGAAAAAATTAGACATGTCTCCACAAATATAAATAAGATTTGTTGTTTAGAATATTAAATATACCGAAAAAATTAATTATATGAATGGGCGGGTATCCACGGGCCGGGTTTACCTAAACCCAAACCCAACCCAACCCGGTGAATAGTGAACGGGTTTAAACCCAAACCCGGCCCAAAATCCGTCAACACGGATTTTACCCGCGTTGACCGGGTTGGGTCGGGTGGGTACCCATGGGTTCGGGTTTTGTTGCCATCCCTAATTAAAACGGTTACCACAATATCCACTTCATTTAACACCACCACTAGGCATTTAACACCACTAGGCCCTAGGGTTGGGAACGGTTATAATTTTCCCTTTTTTGTTAATATTAATATTTTTCATGTAAGCATACATGTCATTATTAACCCTATTTTATATTTTGTAAAATTTAAATAATAATTAAAAAAAATTGAAAGATTCAACTAAAATTGTATTTACCCTGGTTTTAACAACAAAACCTGCTCAGAGCCAACAAAGGACGTGTCTACTACTACCCTACCTAGTCTTCTTAGCCTTGGACAACTTCTTCTTTCTTTTCTTGATAGCCTTGGGGACTTTATTCTTCCGAGCTTCTCTCTTCTCTTCCTTCACTTTCTTCTTGTTCTCTTTCCTAGCAGCCCTTTTATCACTGCGACTCTCCTTCTCGGACCCGCTGCTCCCATCATCCGACTCACCACTGCAGTCTTCTCCCGAGTCCGAGCCAGAGTCGGACTGCGAGCCCACATCATCCTGCTTGGCCACCAAAATCGACGACTCTTCTTCGACAGGCTTCCCTTTCTCTTCCTGCTCATCTCTCCCGTCACAGCAAGACTCATCAACAACTTTTCTGCTGGCAAGAGCATCCTTCAGTCCCGTGATGGTCTTATAGTACATGTCTTCCGTGTTCTGCCCACTCGTCAATCGTATCACATCCTCCTCTGCATTTTTCACGTCATCCAATGTTTTTGGAATGTATGCCTTCAACAAAAGAAGAAAAACCATCACACGCAATTAAGCCAGCAATGACTTAAATGCTAAAAGCTTGAGACAAATAGATACACCATCACTTGGTTCATGGTCAATCATACAAATAGCCAGACTGCCAGACCTAGAAGTAGAACGCACCTGAACAAATACGGAATCTGCAATTTCATCCTCTGCAGTGGCATCTCTGGACATGATGTTTTGTTGAACCTGAGGGAATAAGGGGATAAAGTCAGCCCACCAAAAAAAAAAAACTGGCAAATTGTTCCTAGGATTACGATTCGTAGACATAACAAAACGATTGGAACCTGTTCCAGGTAGCTTTCAATGGAGTCATCAGTAATGGTTGGATCGACTATAAAGTCAAACAGCTCCCTAATATTCATCACAGCCACCCCATGTTTCTTAAAGAAATCCTGCACCGCCAACCAACCGCTTTGAGTTCACAAGTTTAAAAATACAGAAGAGAGAAAACAATACTGAACTGTAGAAAAGGGCCTTACAGAAACATGAACACAATCTTCACGCAAGAAATCAAGGGCCCGAGGATGGTCAAGATCCACAGCTTGAGAGACATCAATTATATGAAGATGACCCTACAGTACAGTACAACAAGCAGGTGGTCGTTCAGGTGAAAATTCCATTGTAGAGTTCAATCTCTTCTTTCCTTCTTTATCAAACACAGAAAAGAAAAAAGAAAAAAAGAGGCAAACAGCATGCTAATTTTGAATCTGAAAAACTCAAAGCAAGAGCATCACCTCATAATAAAGAATGTTGTATTCACTAAGGTCACCGTGCACCAGTTTGCATTTCTGATACAATGTCCGCATCGCAATAACCATCTGATAAGCAACTAACATAGATGTTAACCCAGTTTTAAACAAAATGAAGAAGAAGCTATTGATAGTTATAGCACCCATATCATCTAAGTGAACACAGCAGCAGTTTGCTATGAACGAGCTTATGATCTAATAGCAAACATCTTCAAGGAGAACCCCTTACCTCCATCTACTCATATACCAAAACTCAAGAATGAAAAGAATAGGCATTCTCGGAGCAACATACTCTGAATAAATCATTCAAGCGCAAGTAACAAATTAACGACTGGTATTATTGTCAGCCTCACCTCCATATAACCCTCGCGTAACTTATCAGACGATAGGCCAGCATCCTTAAGACGGGGTGCAGCCCAACCAGCTTTTCCTGTGGCATATATAACCAAAGAATCAGACAAGGTTTCAAGGAGACAGAGAGAGTATAAGTGAATGATGAATGCATATCATATAGAAATTTGATGTAACAAGTGAACCTGAATCAAAGACAAGTCTAGGAAATTGCCTTTCACTCTGCCTACATGTGCCCATCTCTAAAACTAGATCATAACTAGTATGAAAACGACAAGAGACACTCCAGAGACAGCAAGGTAATTACCTATAAATTCCATGACCAGGACGTGAAGCCTCAAAAGATAAGGAGTTGGGCATCTGATTCCAGCCGCCTTTAGCCTGCAGTTGGTTTTGAGTTTTTTTTTTCTTCATGTTAATCTAGCTGAAAGAGAATTGTGTTTACTCCAACCAAACACTGAAGTTTTGTTTCTACTCAAAAGTAGTTCTCAAAGCCAAAAGACCATGGAGGGAAACACACAAGTAACATAAACCGAAAGCAATAGACTTTCCATCATACAAGATTCCAAGTGCCATTGAATGGTTTTGAAATACAATAAGCATTCCATTGGTGGCAGGTATAAAGATAGACTTGATAATTTGCCTTACCTCAGAAGGTTCCTCATTTCCTTTTCAGCCCACGTCTTTACCATTTTCCTTGGATTGTGCTTGCAGTATCCAAATCTGAATCGGTAGTCACCTTGTACATACCGATCTCGATCCCTAATTTCATTTTAAATCAGTGAATTGAATCGCATAAATGCACAGTGCAGAACCCAATAGAGGAAATAACAAATAAACAAGAATAAGAGATTTAACTTGACAGAAACTTGCTCTTGCAGTTCTACCAGTGCAGTTGTTTAGTTCAGAATAGGGATTCATCAGTGACCACTTGCCAGTCAGAAAACTAAAATTTCTGAGAATTTCAAAATAATGGAAGTGTGCTTACTTGAAGACCAGTACTGATGTTTTGTACACTTTTATTGCCAGCTCCTGACCATCAGATTTTGTTGCATGGTAGACATTGGCCTGGTACAAAGAGGAAAGTGAAGTTAAAAGAACAGATGACTCACATATGTAACCAAATGCGAAGGTGAATTCAAATAATGCAAGTCGATTCTGACAGAGGATTAACCAGGACAAGAAAAGCAAATCAACAGAGATCCACAAACCTCTTTTCCAGTTGAGATGCAGCCATTCATATCATTAAAGACCCCCCGATTAAGCATTTTGAACAAAACCATCCTTGTTCTGGGATCAAGGGCCTGCAGAAAGGGAGTCAACATATGATTAGGGTTTTCCATACATTAGATCTGTTAGTAGAAATTCCTGCCCCGAAGGGGGATTTGAATCAACAGGGTCCAGGGACAGGACGAATAAAATGCAAGGGAATTAGCATGCACCAGTCAAAGCATAAACAAACTAAAGCCAAAACAACAATACAAAATCTCTGATCCCCATTTTCGGTAGAGCCTGATGTCCCAAACGAGATGAAAATTCTTTGAGCCAAAAAGACATAAAGGTCCAAAATTCCTAACTTCCCTGTACCTGTCTCATTTTACCATGAATTTAAGCATAAGGGCAATAGCCCAAAGCTTTATGAAGAAAAAATTCCTTAGTAGAACTGTAGAAGTGATCACATAACACTGAAATCTGAATGTTGTTATTTCTCACGAAACGAGTAGTTTATAAAATCCAACGGACTGGTTTAAGAGATTAAGTTCACCTGCTCAACAGTAGCGCGATCTGCTTTTTCAGTAGTTTTAGTTTTGCCAATTGCCATGTCTCGCACGCTTCCACGAATCGCAGTTGTCACAGAATTAGACATCCCAACGTTCATCCTCCCTTCCCACTCCTGCAACCATCATACAAAGCTTTAAACCGAAAACCTCTCGGCATAAACCATCAGTACCATACTATTAAACCCTAATAGAAACCATACCTCTAAAGGAGCAGCTCGGATATGATGGGTGAACTTCTGATTCCGATTGGAGAGAGGTTGAAGCGTCGAGGAACTAGGCCGAGAATGAAGGCCTCCATGAGCATTGGGTCGCCTCGAATTCAGCGCAAAACTTCCATCACCCGCTTCACCATCGCCCTTGGCGTCCAACCAATCCAAAGCATCCCCAATTTCAGAGTCCGAGAATTCATCCTCTTCTTCTTCTTCTTCTTCTTCTTCTTCTTCTTCTTCTTCTTCTAATACTATTTTCTCTTCTTCTTCTTCAGCTCTGCAAGTGGCTAGCTGTTCTGACTGCACAAAGTTTTCCACCATCAAGGACATCTCCTTACTTACAGTCTTCGATATGAAGTGTCAAGAAGCAGTTGGCGGAGAAGGAGGGGAGTCGACTGGTGGTGAGTGGTGACGAAGGCGGAGCCGAAGGGGAAGTGGAATGCGGAGGTAAAACAGGAGGGGGCGAGAGAGAAGAAGAATGGCCGATGTTGCGACTTGCGAGGCGGCAGCAGAAGACGACGGGCCAGTAGCTGGGGTTGGGCCTAGTTGTTCAGTTGTGGCGGCAGATGACACAGCTTTTGTGGAGCGCCTGCTAGAGGACTGATGGGCGAATTGTGGGCTGGGGTGGGAAGTCACTCTCTATATCTCTTATGGGCTGAGAATCAATTATCAGACTCAGACAAGTGAATTTGGACTCGTCAAATAGCACATGGAGGAATTTTACAATGCTATACAGTATTGGTGTTATAGGTTTTTATCTTTATGGTACAACTTGAAATTGTACATTTAATGTTATGGTACAACTTCAAATTGTACCTATATTTTTTGTGCAAATTCGTTTATGGTACAACTTCAAATTGTAAAGTTATACCATAACATAATGATACAAATGTCTTTATGGTACAACCTAAACTTATACATTTATTGTTATGGTGCAACCTAAAGTTATACATTAAAGCACCAATACTATATAGCATAGTAGAAGTGCTCGACGACTAATAATCACTAGCATTGTGTCCGGTCCGTTGGTCGGTGGCATACTAAATTTAATGTGTACTTTGGTTTACTCTATTGACCGGTGGAATGTAGAGGTTGTACATACATACTTTATCCTAGTTTAATCATTCGCTTATAGTACTTTCATATTCTATTCAAACCTACTCATTACCCATATTCATATATGCTTCACTCATGTCCTTACTAATTATCAATAAGTTTTCTTGGGTTTGGGTGAAATTATCATAGCCGAATAATTGCAAAATGAATAAATGGTATATTTCATAGTTGTTATGAAACTAATGGAAAATATAAACAACTACAAGAGAAGATTAGAGAGGGAAAGACACAAGAGAAGAGAGGGGAGTAGTTCTTCTTATTCATACCTCATTTGTGATACAATAGTGTGCTCTATTTATAGGCACCCTTTGGTAACCACTACATCCTTACATCAATGCATATGGATTAGAGATAATGATATAGGAATAGGAGTTACATGTAACTCCCAAGTGAGCATTTAATGTGGTAGGCCATAGGTCATCCATATATAAATATTTACATAATACTCCCCCTTGGATGACCACTAGATTGCATTATTACGCTATCTCATGTTGCCTCATTAAAAAACTTACTAGGAAAACCCAGTGGAAAAAACCATGGTTAAGGGAAAAAGAGTGCAGCGCGTATATGCTCCCCCTCATGACCACATCAGCTTAGGTCTTTAAGTCGTCGAACTCCAATTTCACGAACAAACTTTACAAAGATTGTCGTCGGGAGTGACTTGGTGAATAAATCTGCTAGATTCTCACTTGAACGAACTTTTTGAAAAATTATTTCACCACTCTTTTGAAGATCATGAGTGAAAAAGAACTTGGGTGGAATATGTTTTGTTCTATCTCCTTTAATATATCTTTCCTTTAATTGAGCAATGCATGCTGCATTATCTTCATACATGATCGTCGGGATCATTTTTCCTAGAGATAGCCGACACGATTCTCTGATGTGTCGAATTATAGATCTTAACCAAACACATTCACGACTTGCCTCGTGAATTGCTAAGATTTCAGCATGATTGGATGATGTGGCTGTTATAGTTTGTTTTGTGGATCGCCACGAAATGGCTATACCACCACAAGTGAACAAATATCCTGTCTGAGATCTACCATTGTGGGGATCTGAGAGATATCCTGCATCTGCATATCCCACTAAATCCATCTTCGATGCACTCGAATAGAACAAGCCCATATCCGTCGTTCCTCGAAGGTAACAGAGTAAATGTTTAACTTCATTCCAATGTCTTTTAGTGGGAGAAGAGCTATATCTTGACAATATATTCACAGCAAATGATATATCGGGTCGTGTGTGACTGGCTAGATACATTAATGCTCCTATCGCACTAAGATATGGCACTTCAGGGCCAAGCATAACTTCATCACTTTCTCGAGGTCTAAATGGATCTCTGTTCACATCAAGTGATCTAACAACCATTGGATTACTCAACTGGTGTGATTTGTCCATATAAAATCGCTTAAGCACCTTTTCAACATATCCTTCTTGATGCACAAAAATACCATCCTTTAATTGTTCAATCTGTAATCCAAGACAAAACTTTGTTCTTCCTAAATCTTTCATTTCAAACTCTTTCTTCAAGCAATCAACTGCTTTTGGAAGCTCTTCGGGAGTTCCAATGATGTTTATGTCATCAACATAAATTGATATTATAACTAACTCACTACCCGATCTCTTTAGAAAAACACATGGACAAATAGGGTCATTCTTGTATCCTTCTTTCATCAAATATTCACTGAGACGATTGTACCACATTCGTCCAGATTGTTTCAATCCATACAAGGATTTATTCAATTTGATAGAAATTTTTCTCGAGAATGTGTTTTGTTTGCTTTTGGCAAAGTGAATCATTCGGGGAGTTTCATATATATATCATTCTCAAGTGATCCATACAAATAGGCTGTCACAACATCCATTAGACGCAGATCTAGTCCTTCTCGAACTGCTAGACTAATCAAGTATCGAAACGTAGTTGCATCCACCACAGGGGAGTATGTCTTCTCATAATCAATGTCAGGTCTTTGTGAGAATCCTTTTGCGACAAGACGTGCTTTATATCTCACAATTTCACCCTTTTCAATTCTTTTCCGCACAAAAACTCATTTGTATCCCACTGGCTTTACGTTTTCAGGTGTAAGTACTACCGGTCCAAAAACCTTTCGCTTTGAAAGCGAGTTTAATTCCGCCTCAATGGCCTCTTTCCACTTTGGCCAATCATCTCTTGACTTGCATTCATCAATAGATCTTGGTTCATGATCCTCATTTTCATTCATCACACTCAACGCTGCAGCGTAAGCAAAAACATTTTCCGTCCAAGACATAATTGATTGAGATCTCTTCATTATCAAAACTTTCGGGTACTTGATGTTCTTCGGGAACTACAATCTTAGTTATGCTTGGGGACTCTTCTTGAGCTTTCATATCCTCGATTTGACCAACTTGATTCATAGCTCCTTTTCTTTTTCGAGGATTTTATCCTTGGAACCTACTGGTCTACCAGGCTTCATTCGTGGTTTAGATTCGTTTGCAATTTCAGATTGTCCAATAGGGACATCAACTTTCACTGGAGCATTTATAGCTGGTAAGTGTGACTTTGTCACTCTCTTCCAGTGAGTAAAAGAATCCGACAGTTGGTTTGCTAAACCTTATAAATGAATTATCTTTTGAACTTCCAGTTCACATTGTCTAGTACGAGGATCAAGGTGAGATAATGATAATTCATTCCAACAAATATATTTTCCCAGTTGGTTGTTCTCACCCCCTAATGTTGGAAAAACTGATTCGTCAAAATGACAATCAGCCAAACGAGCAGTGAATAAATCTCCCGTCAAGGGTTCTAAGTATTTTATGATTGACGGGGACTCATATCCAACATAAATTCCAAACCTCCTTTGAGGACCCATCTTAACACGCTGTGGTGGAGCAATAGGGATGTAAACGGCACACCCAAATATTTTTAGATGGGAAATATTAGGTTCCTGACCAAAAACCATTTGCAAGGGGGAAATTTCATGATAACTTGTTGGTCTTATGCGAATTAATGTTTCCGCATGCAATATAGCATGTCCCCAATAAGAAATTGGCAAGCTTGTTTTCATAAGCAATGGTCTTGCAATAAGTTGGAAACGCTTAATAAATGATTCTGCAAGACCATTTTTGTATGAACATGTGCTACAGGATGTTCAACATCAATCCCAGTGGACATACAATAGTCATTGAAAGTTTGTGAAGTAAATTCACCAGCATTATCTAGACGTATTTTTTATTATTGGAAAATCAGGAAAATGTGCTTGTAGTCGTGTCAATTGGGCAAGTAATCTAGCAAACGCCAGGTTGCGAGTTGATAGTAAGCACACATGTGGCCATCTAGTTGATGCATCAACTAAAACCATAAAATATCTAAATGGTCCACATGGTGGGTGAATTGGCCCGCATATATCACCATGTATACGTTCTAAAAATGTGAGAGATTCACTCCTTACTTTCACAGGTGATGGCCGTATAATCAACTTGCCACGAGAACATGCAACACATGGTACATCTTTAAACTGATAAATTTTGTGACCTTTCAATGGATGTCCACATGTATTTGGCAATGATTTTTTGCATCATAATCAATCGGGATGGCCTAACCGGTCATCCCAAACTATAAAATTATCAAGATTTGTGATAGAGCAAAAGCATAATGCTTCAATTCCTATCTTGTAGTAAAACCGGAAATCCGGGTATCGTCTCTCAGGGACTGGTACAACCTTAAGTTCTATCAATTTTATGAGCAAACTATAAGTGAAAAATGGTTTGGTTGATGAGATTATTAACTAATAGCAAAATAACTAAACTAATTAAGCAAAGTAAACTTGTCGGGAGAAATTCAATGGAGAAAGCTCTAGGAGAAACACCGGAATTCACTATCTATCATATCCAAATCAATTCACTTTTCTGATCAATTTAATCTATATCTCTACAGCTAGGGTATCACTACTGTGCTAGCTATCCCTGTCGAGAATTACTACGTACTAAACAATTAAATCAAATCCTACTGTCGTAGCTCAATGACTTAATTATTTAGTCTAAGATCGATATCCTATTTAAGACCGCATAACACCTTATTTAATCCACTGTCGCTTCGATAAGTTACTATGTCACGTGAAATAGGTTTAGTTATTAGGGTTTCACTGTCGCTAATAACCTAATTAACTACGATTCATTGTATTGGTGGCCAGTCAACACAAAGCATTAAGCAATTCCATGCAATAGAGATTGGAAGAAAAGAAATATGAATCATTCATCAAGTCTAGAAATAGCTACATCCTATGGTGTTTCCCCCAAAAATTGGGGTTTAGTTCATGACGAAATCAAAAGATATAATCATATTCTTAATCATCATGAAACTAATAAAAAGAGAAGGAGCAAAATACTCAAGTAATTCCCAATCAATGTTCGTTGTTTCCGTCTCTCCCGACAGCTCACGATGGGTGAGATTTTCTGATCTTGTCGCTGCGCTCCGCCTCGTCGTTCGGTGCAGCTGTTCCAATTCCCCAAGAAATTCCGTGCGTCGCCAACTGCTTCTTTTCTCCAAGAATCCCGCCACCCAGTTGCCTTTCTTTTTCCCTTCTCTCCTCCTTCTTTCGCCCAAAGTAGGTCTGTCCCCTGATGTCTCTTTCTTCTTTTCTGAACTGCTATTTGCAGCCCGAGTATTTACTATTTGCAGCCCACACTTTCAAAGAAAAGGACATTTTTGCCCTTTTACTTTATTAGATTAAATCCTAGATACTCTAACTTAATCAACAACACCACCACCTCTCGTCTTATGCACCTCATTGAGATGTCGGAGTTTTAGATGGTCGCCAGAAAATGGTGATCGCCGGAGATTAATTGCTGCAAATAGTAAATAAGTGAACATAAATGGTAACGTCTATCTCATTAAAGATTTAATTGGCATTCAATATTAACTTCTATTCTATCTCATTAATTCCCCCATTTAAACATTCAAAATAGCCCTATAATTCCATTTAAACAAAAAAAACTCTGTAAATAAAGAAAATTACCCGATTTTTTCTTTCCCCAAATCGCGCCACATCCAATTCACCTTCCCTTTTTCCGCGACGTTTCCGGTATAATCTTGCCAATCCCATGACGATTCCTCTTTCTTTGTTTTCTTCCGCAACGATTCCTCCGACCTCAGCCATTATCATCCGCTTTCCCGGCATCATCGTCTCCCATCGTCCGACTGAGATGTGCAGTCCGACGTCGGCGTTCGGACGCGGTCCGAAGCCTGAGTTCGGACGGGGCCCGATGTCAGCGTTCGGACGGGGCCCGACGTCGACAATCGGACGGGGCCCGACGTCGGCGTTCGGACCAAGTTGATGTCAGCATTCGGACCAGGTTCAGGCGTACGACCTCCGGCGTCGTCCTCAGAGACTATCCCACCGTCGGACCATTCTTCTGGTCGCCGAGAACTCGTCTTCTTGCCGTTAAATTTTGTTAGGGAAAAAAAATCCGCCTTGCGATGATTGGGATTCTGTTTTGCTAAGTTATTTGTTAGAAAAAATAAATATAAGGGCAAAATCGTCTTTTTCATAAATTTTTCGGGCGGCAAATAACAACCCTCTTTTTTTCTTTTTCAAAGCCTCTCGCCCCCAAAACCAATTAATTCTGCCGCCAAGACATTAGAAGATCCCCCCCCCACACCCAAAATTCGTCTCTCCTCCAACTACTTTCCTTCGACCCACCAAAAACCTCCCCAGCTGCCTTCCATTCATGTCCAGCATTCCAAGCCCATCTAGCTGCTCCATCCAGGCCCACGTGCTATTTAGCCAGTGATTCGAGAATTGTTTGCCTGTGCAACTTCTTTATCGCGTTTTCTCCACCTGTAACATATCAAACTCATGGCACTAGGCAGTAATGGTTTTTTCAACCATTCCCGGGTTAGCGAGCCCTAAAATAGCACCAATCAACTTAAATATATCATGGGATAGTCACATAAATTTTAATAATCCGATATATTAAAGCCGATTATCAATTTGTAAACTTCTGGTTTACCACTGCTTGTGTTTCAATTGTACTAATAAACGTGTAGTACAACCCAAAATAAATAGCAGGCAATTTCTCCAATATGTATTTCTTATCGGAGACCATATTTGTTATCATAATATACTCTTTATTCTCTTCTTCCTTTGTCTCAATATGATATCCATTTCAGCGAGTATCTTTGTAACTCAATAAAAAATTTTGAGACTTTGAAGTGTATAAGGCTTCATTGATATATAACTTGGTTCCTTCTGGTAACAATACACTAGCTCTTCCGGAGCCTTCAATTAAATTTGTACTTCCAGATATAGTACTAACATTTGCTTCTCGCATTTCAAGATGAGAAAAATATTTCTTATCCTTCAAGATTGTATGTGTCGATGCACTATCGATAAAACACACATCATAGTTTTTTATATTGGTGGTAAGCATGAGAATATTCATTCTTCACACAAGATAGAAAGGAAATCAATATAAGAAAATATCTCCAAATAAATATAAAAACATTGACATGATTATAATAGATGAACTTAAACCACATAAGGATTATATAGAGAAATTATATTAAACTGACACATTAATAGGAAAAACACACTCAAGGAAAATGAAAAAATAAAGTGAAATTTCAAATGGGAAACCTAAACTTTTCACTTGTGAACAAAGCAACAACGAAATAGAAATTTCAAATGAAAATGCTAAGTTTTCACTTGCGAACATTCCTATTACCAATCACGTTATCTATTTTTCCTTCAGGGTGGGCAAAGAAGTCGGACACATCTAGATGAGTAGCATCATTATAGTCTTTTCCTGAATCATCTTCCTCAAAAATACAATTGGTTTCTATCTTCTTCCCTTTCAATGATTCTTGGTAGAGGTTAACCAAGTGTTTTGGCGTACGACAGGTACGAGACCAAAGACATTTTCCACCACAACTGTAACACACATTTTCGACGTGTTTGTTACCATGAACACTTTGTTCCTTGCTTCTTCTACATCATTTTTTCTACTTATGGGAAAAAAAGAGCTTTTGGAACTTTGACCACGACCATTACCACATCCAAGATCTCGGCCACGGCCACGGCCTCGAGCATGACCACGCCTACGTGCTCGTCCATGTATTTGCCCATAAGGATATTGGGTGAACGTCGCCGCATTCGCTTCTGGGTATGGGGCGGCACCAGTAGGACGAGATTGGTGATTTTTCATTAGGAGCTCATTATTTTGTTCGGCAACAAGGAGACAAGAAATCAACTCATAATATTTCTTGAAACCTTTCTCACGGTATTGCTGCTGCAGGAGCACATTGGATGCATGAAAAGTGGATACTGTTTTTTCCAACATATCTTCATCAGTAATATTTTCTCCACATAACAGAAGTTGTGAGGATATTTTGAATAGCTCCGAATTATAATCACTCACAGATTTAAAATCTTGTAACCTCAAATGCATCCAATCATAACGAGCCTTAGAAAGAATCACAGTTTTTTGGTGGTCATACCGCTCCTTCAAATTAGTCCACAAAATAAGTGGATCTTTTACCGTAAGATACTCATTCTTCAATCCCTCGTGGAGGTGATGTCGAAGAAAGATCATTGCTTTAGCTTTGTCTTGATCTGATACTTCATTGCCCTCTTTAATCGTGTCTCCAAGACCATTGGCAACTAAATGAATTTCAGCATCTAGCACTCATGATAGGTAATTCTTTCCAGTGACATCAAGAGCCACAAACTCAAGTTTTGAAAGATTCGACATACTATCATAAAAATATACACAAATTAAAGTCAAAATTCAATAAATAAATATAGATTACTATCAAGACAAACGACTTATGTGACCCATGATATATCAATTTGATATTTTTACAAATATATAAATAAATTCGAATTTCAAAATAAACAAATTATAAAGAAAAAATATATTGAGATTATTATACTACTACTACGAAGTATATATAATCATGACTTGCTAAAAAAAATTATTAAGAAGGAAATTATACCTTTGCGTTCTCAAACAAAGATTTCATGTGTTGATTAATAATGGAAATGATACGTAAATTGAAATAGGACAATAAAAGAAACAATTTGAGAGAATCGACATACCTTGAGCAGAACAATTATGGATTTAACCTTTCCAAAAGGAAGAGTCTCGTGTTGATAACGTGTTATGAAACTAATGGAAAATATAAACAACTACAAGAAAAGATTAGACAGGGTAAGACACAAGAGAAGAGAGGGGAATAGTTCTTCTTATTCATACCTCATTTGTGATACAATTAGGGGTGAAAATCGGTACGGCATCGGTATCCCAATACCAAATACCAAAATCCCGAATACCGAATTACACCCTAGAATCAATCCCAATCCCTAAATAATTTCGATATCCCAATCCCTAAATATTTCGGTATCCCAATCGGTACTTCGGTATCCCAATCGGTATTATCAAATACTAAATTAATTACCTTTATAATTAATAATTAAATTTATAAATTAGATTTGATTGTTTAATATATGACAAAGAGACTAAACAAAGAGTTTTTAGTTTGGCTAGAGCTAAGATATGGATAAGGATAATGGAGTAGAGGTGACATCTCAAGTATTTGTCATTGGTATTCTTTAATTAGACGAATTTAAGGCTGAGAGAAGACTATTACTAATGTTTGCTTTTTAGTGTTATGAAAAGAACAATAGATTGGTGGCTGAGGATAGTGTAGTAGTGAATGAGAGAGTCTAGTTGAGATGATAAAATACACACTAGCTTATATTTCGGTATTGTTCGGTATTTCGGTATATACCGATCCCAATCCCGTAATCCCTAATACCAAATAACAATTAAAATCGAATCTCAATCCCAAGAAATAATACGTGTATTCGGTAATACCAAATATAGACAAATTTGGTACGGGATTCGGTATATCCCAAATATCGGTACCAAACTTCCAGCCCTAGATACAATAGTGTGCTCTATTTATAGACACCCTTTGGTAACCACTACATCCTTACATCAATGCATATGAATTAGAGATAATGATATAGGAATAGGAGTTACATGTAACTCCCAAGTGAGCATCTAATGTGGTAGGCCATTGGTCATCCATATATAAATATTTACATAATAATAGTTTCAATTATGGTATTCAATATTCATCAATATTTGGTATTCAATATTCATCAATATAAAAGCGGCTGGCGCCTCCTCAAAGAAGATGGCAGTCTGTGGACGGAAGTCATGCGCTCCAAGTACAGTCGTAACGGGCAGGGCTTATACATTATCCGACCAGTTCAGGGAAGTTCCTTCACTTGGAACAGTGTTGCTAAAGCCACTGACCTTCTTCGGAAGGGTTGCGCTTGGAATATTAAAAATGGTAAAAAAACTAAATTCTGGTCGGATGTTTGGATTTTGGAGGTACCCCTCAAAGATGTGGCTGTGAGCTCAATTCCAGGGGATTTAGAAGAGATGGTGGTGGCGGATTTTGTCACTCATGTAGGAAGGTGGCGGGCGGATCTCTTCGCCAATTTGATTCCGATTGAAGTCCAACAGAAGATCCTGAGCACTGCCGTCGATCCTCTCTCCATGGAGGAAGACACTCTTTTCTGGTCGGCGACAACGAATGGGCGCTTCACGGCTAAATCGGCCTACGAGCTCCTCAACCCCCTTCAGCAAGATCCCGATGAGAAGTTTTGGAAAATCATTTGGCAACTGCCGGTCCCTGAAAGGATTAGAACTTTCATGTGGACAGTGCTTTTGGGGAAAGTTGCAACGAATTCACTTCGCTTCGAGAGGAAGGTTGCCCAGAATCCTTTCTGTACCCGCTGCCAAGGAACACCTGAGACGATCTTGCACATTCTCCGGGAATGCCCTGCTGCTCTCTTCTTCTGGACTCGCCACATGCCAGGGCCGAGACAAAGCCGCTTCTTCACCATGGATGAGGCGACTTGGCTTCGGGAGAACTTGAATAAATCGGATACTGTTGATGCATGTATGGATTGGGCTTCCTTTATTAGTGTTGCGTTGTGGCTGCTGTGGAAAAACTAGGGCTGGGAAAATAGACCAGACCGTTAGAAAAACCGTGGTCCAAACCGTACCGCACAGTTTGGTCCGGACCGTAGATCGTGAAGTATGGTCTGGTCTGGTCCATGGTCTGTATTATTTTATGATTTGATCTCTTGGTCTGGTCTGGTCTAGACCGCGGTTTACCGGACCAAACCGTAGACCCAACTGACTTGTCAATACGTGTTAATAACCCATTCGACCACTCTCCAAACTCCCATAACGACACCCAAGTCTCAACCTTAATTTTGTGAATCTCTTCCCTCCTTCATTCACAACCA